TAAAGATTTATTTAAAAAAAATTATATTTTTTTTATAAATAAGTCAGATAAATAAATATAATGATAATAAACAATTCTACATGATGTCTCAGAATAACCGTCAAAAACATTAGTGAAAGAATCAATATTTGGCGATTTTTAGTAATTGATATCTTGTTAACTATTACGAAATGGTAAAGGACTTCTCGACTCAGTTATGCCGCTCTACTCGCGCACGAAATATTTTAGAATACTCTGTATATACAGAACTAAAATAAGGTAACAAACTTATCTGCAAACTCACTGTTACAATGAATACTGAGATACAGTGCAGTATTATTACATTTTATAACACTTAGAATACATTTTTGAATTATTATTCTTTTCATTATATCTACATATGTATACATATATAATGATTTATATATCATTTACTAGCTTTCGTTCTCTCGAAATTTCTTAGAGTGAAATCTCATTCCAAAAGAATGAAAATATACTATTGAAAAAGAATGAAAATATTTGCACTCTTGAAGAGTAGCAGATTTTAATTCTTTTTTAGAATAATATTTCATTCTTTTGGAATGAGATTTAATCAAAAGGAGAGAAATCTCACTTCTTTTTTGGAATGAATCTTATTCCAAAAGATTAAAGTTTTACTCTAAAAAAGAATGAAAATCTGCCATTTTTATTCAAGAGTGCAAATATTTTCATTCTTTCAATAATGATAATATTTTCATTTATTTGGAATCAAATTTCACTTCAAGAAATTTAGAGAGTTGAAGATTGATAACTGTTGTATTGATTTATTGATTCTTATATGTATTCAGAATTATTAATATATTATTTTTATCCAAATCTCATACATTATTACACGAAACTGGAAACTTACTCGATACAAATTGAGAGTAAAGAAAACAACTACTCCTCCAGTGAAACAAAGCAGCGTTATCTCGAATGAGGACACTAAATGCTTGGACAACCTTTATAAATAATAAATATATTATTTAGAAATGATAAAAATATTATTATTCCTTCACTGCAGCCATCTTGTATTGTGATATTAGAAACGAAAAAAATACATAAAAAATTTTTTGCAAATTATATTTAAATGCCAATACATTCTTTTTAATATAATTTGCAATCATTGATTGAATTTGTAAAATATACCAACAACTCTTCCTTTATGTGATAATAAATAACTATATACAAGGTGTCTCTAAAAATGCTGCTTAAAATAACTCATTAATTGTTCATTTAATAAAAAAAATGTTTATATGAAAGTGAAGCAATTTCGAGAAGAATATATTACGTTATTATCCTTTTAGATGCTAAAAAGATGTGAAGATTATTTCCACTTCTTTAAAATGAAATTATATAATTTTTTATATAATATACAAAATAATTAGAGAAATTATATTGTATAAAAAAATTATATAATTTCATTTAAAAAAGTGGAGGAGACTTTTATATGTTTTGGCACCTAGAAGAAATACAATATCAGAATACGTATCCCTTGAAATCATTCTACTTTTATAAAAAATATTTTTTTATTAAATCAACAAATAATGAGCTATTTTAAATGACACTATTATAATAACAACTTATATTTGAAATTAAATTATGCTTATATAAACAACAAAATAAACTATATGAGTTATCAAACTGAGATAATGATGAAATATGATTCTAAAACATAAATAATAGGGATAGATATTAAAACAAAAATCATATATTTAAAATTATCATATAAAAAAAAAATGAGACCATCAATAATTGATGATCAAATCTTGACCGAAACGTTTTAATATGATAATTTTAAATATATGACTTTCGTTTCAACGTCTATCGTTGTGGCTGTATGCCCTATTATTTATATTTTGTATTTTTGAGCCTTCAGACATTTAAATATGATTTTATTTCAAAATAAAAGAAGAATTTTCAGTATATATTACAAATTTACCTTATCAAATACAAACATTGTTTTGTTGAAAAATATTTTTACTAAGTATTATGTATTTTTTACGACATTTTTTTCGTGATGATCAGGAATCTTAACATATATTTGCATGAATATTGTATGTTGATATTAATACAAACTTCATAGCTTGACGATGAATGTCTATAGCACAAATTATGCTCTTGGTCATGAAAACCTTATTTTTTAACGTAATATTTTGTATGGTATTAATATTTACTGCATGGTTGATACGATAACTGTATAAATATTGAATTGTAATTATGTAGTAATTAAAGATATAACTTTTTAGTTAAAAACAAACTTCCACAAAAATTTGTTAAATAAATTGTATGTATAAAAATAACTAATCTGATGATCAAAAAGATATAACAAGTGCTCATTTCTTTTCTCTATGTCTACATTCTTACCTAGCAATTCTAAACATTCCACAGGTATGCAGAAGATATGAGACGAACATTGAACCTGTTGCTAACATTATAGCTGTTGCAACGCATAATTCTCCGTACATATGCAATAGTATCCAATAGAAATACTTTTCTTGATCAATAAAATACTCTGACATAATGAGTAAATGATGTGATTGAGATGTGTTCATTGTATTAATATCAGCTATAAATGACCAAATTTGAATTACAATAATAATAAATATTCCACAAACTCCAAATACTAAAAAGAAGTAAAAAAAATTATTTAAATTTTTAATATCTAAAATTGTTTCTATGTATACTGTACGCATGTACATGTATTACGAAATAATTCTTATCTTGGATTTTACAACAAAAATGATAGCTGTGTTATTTTACATATACATTATTATAAAAACTTTTTTAATAGAATAAGATTTTATCGTAAAATTGCTAACTATTTTAAATTTTATTTAATTTATTAAACACATTGGTCATTCCTCGCAGATGCACATACATGTTCTCTAAATTTCCCGGAGTGAAATCTCACTCCAATGGATTTAGAGAGTGACAAATGCTTTAATAGATTTATATAATAAACCATATGTAAATGTTTGTATGAAAAGGTAAATGTTATGATGTTTCACCAAAAATCATTTCTTTTTCTCAGTAATGAACAAAATTATATTATAGTTATAAAAAGACAATGTTTGTTATGTGTTCAATATTTTAAGAGAGTTCTTGTGTTTTGAAAAAATTCTATTTCAAATAGAATGAACAAAAATTCTTTAACATCTATACACTTTAAATGTTTATAACGGTCATTTTAGTGTGACTCTATGCAAACGAAATCCATCCAACCCCCCCCCCCCATCCCACCGCCATTACTTTCCACGTGAAATGAATTTCCTGCTAAGGGATACACAACTTTTCATTCAGGTAGATTTTGTTTTGCGTGTGCCCCCTTTGCAGGAAGGATGGTGAAACTCGGTTTGCGTGGAAAATTGAACACCTCTTAATAGGGATACAGGGGGGAGTGAAATGTCCATACATTTTTTCAGTCTTGATCAACAATCTTGATGACCGTTTTATTTCGATCTCATGGCAAGTATAATAATTTAGAAAACAAAAAAAATTAATATAAAGAAGCTTTATATTAATATTTCAATAAAAAATGAAATATCTTATTCATCTTTTAAATAAAATTTTCTACAAAAATCACAAGCTTCTCTTAAAACATGGCACGCATGTACTTTTATAACTAGTTTTGTTCATTACTAAAAAAGAAACCGTGATTTTTAGAAAACCACTTTTGAACATTTACCAATTGAAAGTATTACAAAATATCATCATAATAAACATTATCTTACTTGTAAGCGTAATCGTGTAACGTTTAGCAATGCAACTATATTTGTATATAATTGCAATTTCATTTTTATCCTTTAACTCATTGAATATATATCGAAGTTCGGCCAATAAATTCTTCACCTATTATTTTATTAATTTTCTATACTCTCTTCGTATATATCAAAAACACTTTATGCAATAAAAATTTTTTTATTGACAAGTTAATTCTATTTAACGGATATTTAGTAAGTTATGAACTTACAATTTCAATGTTAAGATAGAATGCATTATATTGTATCATGCACAATATGAAGAGAGATACGGAAGACAACACCTTTATTACAAGGTCTAAAGTACATTTTAATATAATTAATGGTGTCAACTGCAAAAGTTAGTTTTACACAATTTCATATATAAATATGACTTTAAAAAATGCGATAGATTATTTCTTAAATAATGCATGTATTAACGGTTACATACAAATAAATGCTTATACATACAATTGTGAACCAACAATTTGCACCTCTATAGCGAGTACTTTGTAATTTCTCATTTTTTATAAAAATTAAATTAAATGCATAATATGAATTGATATAAACAATTGAAGTGAAAGATTGTCACGCAGTAATTTATATTATACATATAATAATATTATATTATTTTATACCTGAAATATAATACCTGCTGATAAAACAGTACAGAAGAAAATAAACTGAAATTGAGTAAATTTGGATTGTTGATAAGGCCATAAACCAATAGCAAGCAATAGAATTTTATTGAGATTATTATACTGAGTTTCTGGATGTATCATTTTCTCTTCGAGCATCAAAGTATTTCTGTGAAGACTGAAGATGTTGTAAAGAGTATGCTTATTCATTTTTTTCATTATTTTACTAAATACTTTTACATCCTTATGTTTTCTAATATAAATTTTGCCGTAAATTTCACAATTTGTAATGATTGGTTCTGTAAAAGTTTGCTATGTGAGATCTAACAGTGTTAAATTTAATATTTATTATTCTTTCATCAAATTACTGATATTTATGTTATTGATTTATACTACAGGTAATTTAACAGATGTTATTTTCTCATGAAAATAACATATTATATTTGTCACGCAAGCGTATTTTCTCTTTTTCAGCACTAGAACTTCATTCTGGTTTACGCACTCACGCGATACACTTCGAGAGAATGTTCCTTTACTTTAATTCTTTCGCTATCGTGATCTATCTGATGAAATTCATAATTTGAAAATGTCAGCATTAATACATAACATTATTACATTTTAAGACTGCGTTGGACAAAATTAATATTTTGAACAAGCAAGTGGCAAATGTTAATATCTAAGTTTATTGTCTATAATTATTGTCTATAATTAAACTATTCATTCTATAATACTTTTCCTTTTTATTTCTTAATTTTTTAATTTTCTATTAGTAAAAAAAAATATTTGAATTTATATACAAAATTATTTATATTGATATAAATATAATTAATTAAGTGTAATAATTTTTATACGTCGATAATAAATTCAGCGATATAATTCAAAAGATTTTTTATTTACTGATCATATAAAGTATATAAACATTCGCTATAATATATTGTAACAATTATATTCATATTCATGCTTATATTCATTTCAGTATTTTGTACAAATTTGAACTATCAATATCTTGATTTTTCTTATCTCAGCAGAAAAATTTCTGTTACGTTAAAAGAAATTACTGAGTTATAAAGAATTAAATTTGAATCAAATAATTATTTTGCAGGAAAAATATTTTCTTACTTTAAAATATTCCATTTTTAATGCTTATAATAGTTGAAGCTATTTTAGATATCTACTTTTAAATAATTTCTATGTAAATTTATAGATATACTAAATATGTAGTCATTCGAACTGCGCTCCAAATTGATTTTTCGAACTTATAAACGATTAAATTACTATAGTAATATCACAAATTAAATTGACAAGCAATTTAATAATTGGATGCTTAATCATGCTATTAGAAACATGTTAATATACTGAAAAACTGTAAATAAATTTATTGTGAAAAATATTACTTTAGCCAGAAGTCAAATCCAGATCTCTTGTCTTCCATGCGAGAGTCTTAAGCCTTTAGATTACTGAGATCTCTATTTACATTGATATGTAACGATAATACATAGATGTACATTAATATGTTATAATCTGTATATTTGTTATAAATTCTTAATTGCAATTAAGGAAAAGTGTATAATATGCAATATTTTCTTTTAAAAACGAAAAAACTATATGTCTTTGTCTGCATCAATCACTTTATATTATTACAGTTTATGCTGCTAGACAGTGTAAGATTGTCACAATTTATATTAAGATAACCAGACTCTATATTATAACCTTAAGTAATTTTTTTTAATTTTTCATCAAGTCTAAATTTGAAAAATTATTATGAACATTAAAAAAAACATGAAACATTTTTATATATTTAAATAAATAGTGAAGGTTTCAAAAGATTATGTATATATGAATCGTATTGAATACATATGTATCCAATATTAACAATACCTTTTTCTTTTATTTTTTTTTTATTTAATTTTTTAGCATGTGTTATTTATTAATAGAGTCATAAATATATGTATAAATATTGAAATTAAATATATTAATTTTAAAAAATATTTCATGCATTATATTATAAATTCTGCATGCAAAAAGTCTTACTTAAATATAAAATATATAAATATACGTTGTTTATATTTGGATTATAGTTAGTACAAAAAAAAAGAGGATCTCGATTATATAATACGCATTGTAAACAAAGAAAGTCCATAATTGCGCGATATCATATGGGATTTCAAGTTTAACTGTAAAGCAAAGTTTCACAATGTGCATGTATACACTATAAAAACAGTATCACTATTTTAATTTAATTAACCTTTATCTTTTTCTAAACAGAAAAATATATGTCAGGGTTGCCATAGACCTGGAAAATCGGGAAAATCGGGAAAAGTCAGGGAAATTGAAATTGATCATGGAAATCGGGAAAAGTCAAGGAAAAATGTAAAAAAATCTGGAATTTCGAAATTTGCTCACAATTTCTTGAAACTATTCCTATTCCAAATAAGTATATATAACTTTTTAAATTATATATTACGTTTACAATGAAATATATTCAAAATTTGTGCATTTTAAACGATTTTAATAACTAAAATTATATTTAATTCGGTATTTTTATTTGTTTCCTCTTTTTTGTCATAACTATATTCTTTTTTTCCAAAATTAATTTATTTTTTGCTGGAGTTTGAATTTGCAAAATTGTATTATGCTACTAAGCTTTTTTTGCATTGTTTTTAATATAGACTAGCTTTCCTACAATCCGTGAGGCTAAATGTTAAAATTTTATATTACTCATGGAAAATTTTCTGTTTTCATCTGGAAAACCTGGAAAAGTTAAGGAATTTTAAAATTCATTTTCTGTGGCAACCCTAATTTATACTCTATAGTAAAAAAATAAATCTATATAATTTTCTAATCGTAATTATCATCATTTTTCATTAACTACAGTTTTATTAAGACAATAATAAATTAATAAATATTTATTTTGTTATCGTGTAGAATGCATGACTGTAAAATAAGATACGGAGGCCTTTATTAGCTGCAATTATAAACATACTTTTTTATTGTAGCTATATGTAAATGGAAACTGAAATATTCCACAAACTATTACCGTGGCAAAACCCTCTATGGATGCATCAAATATCCCACCGAGATTTAATGAAAATTTCTTGGTTCTTCTTTGCAGCAGAAATAGTATCATTCTTTGTATATGTAATGGGGTTTTATACCACTGAACGTTGTACCTACAGATTTGAATATAGAGATAGCAGATCGCTTACTTAAGATTGGAATTCTTAATTAATTAATTTCGGCATATATTCTAATTTAAATGTCGTAGATCAATTTCTGTTTGTATTGTTGTAACAAATACAAAAAACAACAATTGCACATATTGCCAAACAAGAATATTTTTCTTACGCAGTAACAAATACGTGATTATTATGGTCGATTATATTCTGTCCAACATAGTGGGCTATAAACATATATAAGATGCTTGTAGACGCAAATAAAAATGGTAATAAAAATTCACTGACATTGTTTTTATTGTTTTCAGATGATGCTATCTGGAAAAGCTAAGAAACATTTTACATAGTAAATATCAATCTTCTACATATGTATCTATGTTCTAACTATCAATCTATAACGTGCAAGTTATAAATTGATAGTTATATAATATAACAAGTTTTACTTATTACTACAACTAAGATTTTTTTGCTCTTAATTGCTCATATGCACTTTTGTGCACAAAATTTCAGAAATGAGGTCACATTTACAGATATTATATTATTGCCTACATGTATTATTGTCTACATAAATTATTACCTACAGCTCGATTAACTATAAGCACTTTTGCGCACAAATAAAAATTTCAGAGACGAAATTAAATTCACTTACACGTATTATTGCCTACAGATCGATTGCCTACAAGCATTTTTGCTCAAAAATATATATAAAATTAAGTTTAAATTACATTAAAAAAGTAATTTGTATTTTTAAAGCAGAAAATTTATATTTTAAAGCAAAAAATGATTTAAAACAAAATTTGTGTTTTTAAAACAGAGAGTAGTATATATGGGCAATTGAATTGTAAGCAATAGGTAATATCTATAAGCAATCGTTATAGACAATAATACATGTAGCCAGATGTGACTTTGTCTCTGAAACTTTTACAATACTTGTGCACAAAAGTGCAAGTGGAATATAGGCAATTGAGTTGTAGACAATTTTTGTTCACAAACGAACTGTCGGCAAACGATGCTGTCTACAATTGATTTGTGATATTTTTTATTATGTTTGACAATAAACATTCTATTTGCATTAATGATGTGTACCTACAATGTTACTATATTTTATAATCGAATGTTTTACGTTATTTTTCTTCTTATGGCATTTACAAATATATGTATATATGTTATGAATTCATCATTTATAATATTAATACATATTATTTAGCGGTTTTGTTTAAGATTTATATGTGATATTGATTTGTTGCTTTTAAATATACATATATTTATAAAAAATTATTCATATAATATTACAGTATTAATAATAAATAACAATTTCAATGCAATCTTCATATATTATTACGTGAAACCGTAAACTTACTTGAAACAAATTAAAACTAAAACAAACTACTAAACATCCTGTGATACAAGACATCATTATTTCGAATATGGTCATGAAATGCTTCGTCATTCTTAAAAACAAAATATTAGTAAATGTATCGCACAATGTAAAAAACACAGATACATACTTCATAGCTTGACGATGAATGTCTATTGCACAAATTATATCTTCAATCATTAAAGTTTTATTTTTTATCGTAATATTTTGTGGAACATAGGTATTCACTGCATGCTTAATGCGATAGCTACATATATGTTTTTTTTATATTAATTAATTATTAATTTTATATAATAAAATTATTATGCTTCTATGTCTACATTCATACCTAGCAATTTTAAATATTCCACAAATATGCTCAATATATGTAATGAGCATTGTACCTGTTCCCAACATTATAATCGAGGCAATATATAATATTGTGTACATATATAACAGAATCCAATAGAAATACTTTTCTTGATCAACAAGGTACTCTGTCATAATGAGTAAATGATGTGATTGAGATATGTTCATTGTATTAACATCAGCTATAAACGACCAAATTTGAATTATTATAAGACTGAACATTCCACAAATTCCAAAACCTAAAAATAAGTAAAAAGAATTTGCTTAAATTCTTAGTTTCTAAAATTGCTTTATGTATAGGTACTGTACGCATGTATAATATTATGAAATAATTTTTATCTTGGATTTTACTGTCAAATTGATAGCTATATCATTTTACGTAATCATAATAATAATCATTTTACGCTGTATACTATAAAACATTTTTTAATAGAATAAAATTTTATTATAAAATTTATAATTTAAAATTTTTTAAAATTTGATTTGTATACTATGTACGTATATTAAACACATTGGCAATGTTATGAACGAAATTAGTTGTAAAAAAATGTGTATATAATATTTTAAAAGGAAACTTGTGATTTTTGTGAAAAAAAATTATATTTCAAATGGAAAATCATATTTCAAATTACATATATTTTAATAACAGAATGAACAAAAATTTGTTAGTAACTATATTCTTTAATATTTATAAATATAAAGTTTAAATACAAAGTGAATATAAAAATAAATATAAAATTTAATGTTTATAAATATATCCTTCTTGAGCTACGTTTGAAAACATCAGCTGGCTCTTATCCTTGTTTAACATTGGGTGAACAACAAAGTTAAATGACATTCAGGTGATGTTTCTGAACATAGCTTAGTGCGATATTACGCAAACGAAAGCCATCTCTCGCCTCTCCACCCGTTTAGAGGCGTATGACTTTTCACGCGAAACGACTCCCACTCCACTTCTAATCTGCAAGAGTTGCACGAATTTTCACGCTCGGTTGACAGAAGGGAAAGTAGGATCAAAGTCGCTTCGCGTAAAAATATATCGTACAATATACATTAAAGTAAAAAATTTCTTACACAAATAGAAAGATTCATTACATAAAAAAATTAGACCTTTAAGTCCAAATATTTCAGAAATTATTAGAGACCGTCACCTAATTGTTAAAATAAAATTACTCAAAATAAAATCATGACTTTAATAACATATATCGAAGTCAAAAGCATTAGCGCGATGTCTCTTAAATTGCATAAATATTAAATTTTTTCCATAACGGCACAATCCCCCTCTTAAAACATGGTACACATAATATACATGTCTTTTTATAATTAGTCTTGTTCATTAGATACTAAAAAAGAAACGCGATTTTTAGGGGAGCACCACTTCTAAATATTTACCAATGGAAAATATTATTACAAAATTAATAAATATTATCTTACCTGTAAGCGTAATCGTGTAACGTTTAGCAGTACAACTATATTTGTATATAATTGCAATTTCGTTTTTATCTTTTAATTCATTGAGTATATATCGAAGCTCCACGAATAAATTCTTCACCTATTATGTTATTAATTTTCTATACTGTGTTATATATATATATTAAAAACATGTTTGTGCAATGACAATTTTTTGATAAACAAATTCATTCTAATTAACGGATACTCGGTAAGTTATGAACTTACAATTTCAATGTTAAGATGGAATGCGTTATATTTTATCAAGCACAATACGAAGAAAGATACGGAAGACAACGCTTTTATTACAAGATCTAAAGTACATTTTAATATTATTATTGGTGTCAACTGCAAAAAGTTAATTTTACATAATTTCATATATATTGATTTTTAAAAATGCGATATATTATTTTTTAAAAACAACATATATTAACGGTTACATATACAAATAAATACTTATATATACAATTATTAACAACTTGTATCTCTATTGAGAGTATTTTGTAGTTTCTCATTTGATATAAAAATTAAATTGCATAATATGGATTGATATGAATAATTGTAGTGAAATATTGTCATGTAGTAATTTATATTATGAAATAATGTTAGATTTTTTTTTACCTGAAATACAATACCTGTGGATAAAATGGCACAGAAAAAAATAAACTGAAATTGAGTAAATTTCGATTGTTGATAAGGCCATAAACCGACAGCAAGCAATAGAATTTTATTGAGATTATTATGAGTTTCTATATGTATCATTTTTTCCTTCGAACGATAAAATATTACTGTGAAGATTGATTCATCACTGAGAGTATGCTTACTCCATTTTTTCACTATTTGACAAAATATTTCACATTTTCATGTTTTCTGGTATAATTTTACCATAAATTTCATAATTTAATGATTGGTTGTGTAAACGTTTGCTATGTATGGTCTAACGACATTAAATTTAACTATTCTCTCAGTAAATTACAAATATTTATGTTATTGATTTGATACTACTAGTAATTCGACGGATGTTATTTTCTCATGAAAATAAGTTATCTGCTACGCAAGCGCATTTTCTTCTCTCGCCAGAACTTCATTCTAGTCTACACACTTGCCCGATACACTCCGAGAGAATATCGCTTTTCTTTAATTTTTTTCGATATTCTGATCTATCTGATAATATTCATAAATTGAGAATGATAGCATTAATACATAACATTATTATATTTTAAAACGTTTACGTTTGATGAAATTAATATTCTTAGGAATCAAGTGTCGAATGCTGATTTGTAAGTTTTTCGTCTAATTGAACTGTTGACTGTATAATTTTCTTTCCTTTTTATTTATAATTTTTTCTATTAATAAAATTTTTGAATTTATGTGTAATATTTATATATGTTGATATAAAAATAATTAATTAAGTGTAATAATTCTTATACGTTGATAATAAATTTAGCACACAAAAAATTTTATTTATTGATAATGTAAAGTATATACATTCACTGCAATATGTTTTAACAATTTTCCATATATTGATTTTGGTGCTTTACTGCAGAAACTCGAAGTACCAATATCTTGATTCTTCTTTTTTTAACAAAAAGATATCTGTACTTTAAAAGAAATTACTGACTTATAAAAAATTAGATTTGAATTAAAGAATCTATTATTTTGCGTATGTGGAGGATAAATATTTTTATATCTTAAAGTATTCGATTTTTTAAAACAACTGTACTGCACATTGATTTGTATAGAAAAAATATTTTTTTTAAATAAAATATTTCAATTATATTAAAATGTTGATATATAGCATTTACTATCTACATTGATACATCCGTAATACAATACATAGACACACGTTTATAATCTGTGCATTTGTTTGTTACAAACTTTTAATTGCAGTTAAGGAAAAGTATATAATTTATGATGTGCAATTTTATATTTTCTTTTGAAAAAGAAACAATGAATTTTGTTTAAAGCAATCGCTTTATCTTCTTATATAGTTTATATAGCTTAATACAGACAGTATGAGATTATTACAATTTATATTTAAATATAACCAGATCCCAATATATGATATGTCTATTTATTTAAGTAAATTTTTCTAATTTTTTACCGAGTTTCAAAATTTGAGAAATATTTGTGAACATTAAAAAAACATGAAATATTTTGGAATATTTAAATGTATAGTGAAGATTTATAATAAATCTGTGTATGTGTAGGTCGTAATGAGTACATCTCAGTGAGAAATGTCAATGAAATCGATGTTGAATCAATCGATTCGACGTTGATTTGATGATTTCGGCGTCGATTCCATTATTATTTCTTTTCACTGGGATATCCAAACTTAACAATTCTTTTTCTTTCTTATTTCTTTTATTTAATTTTTTAACGTATGTTATTTATCAATGAAATGTTTGAACATAAATACTTATATAAATGTTGAAATGAAATATATTGATTAAAAAAGAATTTATTGCATTATAGTAATAAATCCTGTATTCAAAATCTTATTTAAATATAAAATATTTAAACACGCTGTTTATATTTGGACTACAGTTAATACAGAGGAAGGGAGATCCCGTTTGCCTATAAAACGATTGCCTACAGCTTTGTTTGCACACGGTCACATACTGACGATTAAGTCGACGATTGCCCATAATGCATTGATTAAACAACTGTAATGCACATTGCTTATATGATTATATTACACATTGCACATACGACTGTGTGGTATATATGACCGTGTCGCGCACATGCCATTCGGCACGCATATACATTGCAAACAAAGAAAGTCCATAATTATATGATAGTATATGGGTTTTCAAGTTTGACTGCAAAACAAAATTATACAATGTGCAAAATTATTCATAGTGCATGAATGCAGTATGAAAACAAGCTATTTTGATTTAAATAACTTTAATCTTATTCTGTTACACAGGAAAACATTTATCTGTACTCTATGTTCAAAAAATGAATCTATTATTTTCTAATCGCTATTATCATTTCTTATTGACTATGTTTCTATTATAATAATAATAAATTAATAAATATTTATTTTGTCATCGTGTAGACTGCATGACTGTGAAATAAGATACTGAGGCTTTTATTAGCTGCAATTATAAATATACTATTTTATTATGTATGTAAATGGATACTAAAATATCTCTCAAAATATTACCGTTGCAAAACCCTCCATGGATGCATTAAATATTCCACCAATATTTAATGAAAATTCCTTGGCTTTTCTTTGCAGTAAAAATAATATCATTCTTTGTATATATAATGGAGTTTTATACCACTGAACGTTGTATCTACAGAATTGAATATACAGATAGTAAATCGCTTACTAATTGGAATTCTTAATTAATTAATATTGGCATATGTTTTAATTAAATGCAGCAGATCAATTTCTGTTTGTAATGTTGTAACAAATGCAAAAAGCAACAATCGCACATACTACCATACATAAATGTTTCTCTTACGCAGTAATAAATACGTGATTATTATGGTCGATTATATTCTGTCCCATATAGTTGGCTATAAACATGTATATGATGCATACAGACGCAAATATAAACGATGATAAAGCTTCGCTAATATTTGTTCTATTGTTTTCAGATGATGCTATCTGGAAAAGCTAAGAAATAAATTTTACATTGTAAAATCAATCTTCTACATATGTATCTATATTCTAATTATCAATTTGTAACGTGCAAGTTTTATTTATTCCTGCAATTAAGATTTCTTTTACAGTTCGATTACTTATATCCACTTTTGCGCACAAATAAAAATTTCAAAAAGGAAGTCTTTTATCCACATATATTAATGCTTTCATATATTACTACTTATTTGAATTATTATAACACTTTTGAGCACAAATATATTGTAAAATTAATTTTAAATTAGTTAGAAAGTAATTTCTAAGAGATTAGGACATGTAGGCGATCAAGCGGTAGGCAATAATACATGTAAACAATCGAACTATAAAATATATATAAGCAAATGTAACTTTATTCTTGAAATATTTATTAACAAAAAATACATGTTATTGGCAACCGAGCTGCCGACAATAATTTTTGTGCACAAACAATCTGTCCAAATGCGATGCAGGCAATTGATTTGTGATGTTCTTTATAATGTTTCACAATAAATATTTTATAAATTTGCATTAATGATGTGTATCTACAATGTTACTATGTTTCGAATGTATTTGATAATTTTTTGGGAAAATTCCGCCTACAGCTTTGTTTGCACACATTGCATACATGACAGTATTGCACACAGCACATTGTACACACGGTACCATTGGATTAGTTCACTTGCGCTTAATACGTGAACTAACTACCAATAGTGTACTGCAACGTGCTGTGCGTAATATCGCTGTGTGCAAGACTGTCGCGTGTGCAATATGCTGTGTGTAATACTGTCATGTATGCAATGTGCAGTGTACAAAGTCAGTTTCTGATAAAATGTTACAAAATCTAAAACATTTTTAAAATAATTATTAAAAATTATGGGATGAGAAATTTCAGAATATTTCAGAATTCACTTCTATGAGAAGTTCTTAGACAAGATGTAAACTTTCCGAATATTTTTGAATATTTCTGAAATATGTTGAAAAATGTTCCGATTCATGTAATAATTATGAGAAAAATTTTCACCAGTATAGACAATTATTTATTGAAACGAAGCCTTGCTTTTGATTATGTTTTGATTATTTTTTTTTCTTATGGCATTTACAAGTATATGTATGTAGTTTTCAATTTATAATTTATAATACATATTATTTAATGGCTTTTGTTTAAGATTTATATGTGGTATTGATTGTTGCTGTTAGGTATACATGCTGTTAGGTATTTATTATAGTATTAGTAGATAATAAATAACAATTTTAATGCAAGCAAACCTTCATGTATTATATTATTTCGTGAAACCGTAAACTTACTTGATACAGATTAAAACTAAAACAAATTATTACACATCCCGTAAAACAAGATATCGATATTTCGAATGTAGTCATGAAATGCAACCAAACCTTCATGTATTATATTATTTCGTGAAACCGTAAACTTACTTGATACAGATTAAAACTAAAACAAATTATTACACATCCCGTAAAACAAGATATCGATATTTCGAATGTAGTCATGAAATGGGTCATCATTCTTAAAAAGAAATATATGATTGAGTATTAGTAAATGTATCGCACGATGTATAAAAATCACAGATACATACTTTATAGCTTGACGATGAATGTCTACGGCACTAATTATACCTTCAATCATCAAAATTTTATTTTTTATTGTAATATTTTGTGGAATATTGATATTCACTGCATGCTTAATGCGATAGCTGCAAATGTGTTTTTTTTTATTTATTAATTATTAATTTTGTATTTTATTTAATTTATTTTATTTTATTTAGTTTATTGCAAAGCAATGAAAAAGACTACATATTAACAGAGTAATAGACATAAAATATGATACAATATACTATATTTAATATAAACATAAATACAATAGACAATAGTAGCTTGCAAATGGTAAGGCGTCAGCAAAATTGCTGTTACAAAACCTACCAGTAACAAAATCAGAATGAAACAACAATACAATAACAGGTAAATCAATAACTGAAATCATACACACACACACACACACACACACACGCGCGCGCGCGCGCGCGCGCGCGCCCATACACTCGCAAACACACCAATTACATCTGTCTCGTTTAAATACCGTGAATGACGTAATGAAATTTGAAGCAGCAAAACGAAAGAAGGATGGAGAGGGAGAAGTTTTTATTGAATCAGGAAGAGAATTACAAATATTTGACAGAGAAAGCGGCACTTAGTGGACCGATATATGGAGAAGGATAAGTAAGTTTGGTATCTGGTGACCAGAGTGTTAAAATAGGAATGATGTTCAGGGTTCAAATGAATGAGACGTCGCAGATATAGAGGAATATTGGAGCGAGGGAGAGAAAATACAATCTAGCACAGGTGGAGAATTAAACGTTGTCAAATCTTAAGCCAACCAGATCTCTGATAATACGGAGATATGTGTATATGATCGTATTTACGAATAGAATAGGAGAAGCGGAGACAAGAATTTTGGATACGCTGTACACGATTTAACAGATGTTGGTTAAGAGCCAGAACATAGTCGATATCAGCGTAATCAAACAAAGAAATAACAATTGAGAAATGAGAAGTTTTGAAAGTATGTGAAAAGAAAGGATGTGGTAAAAAAGATAAAGAAAACATAAACAAGCATAAAGAGTCCTTGATGGCCACGTGTGATTCGAATGACTGTGAAGAGTCTACATGAACACCAAGAATCTTAATAAAGGAGGGACGAAGAATTAGAATAGAATTAAAAGAAATATCGAAGGATTGATTATATTGGATAATAATGTTGAGGAACCGACAATCAGCAAGAATGATTTAGAAGGTTTTAGATGCAGGACATTATTCTTCGATTATCATCCGGCAATAGATTTTAAGTATTCTGTATTCAAAGCAGATCAGGTTGTTAAAGCATCAAAGGAGTAAAAGGATTTGAGAAGAATTATATTATCTGCATACATAAGTAAAAAGCTCAGAGAGCAGGGACACATTAGAAAAATCAAATACAAAAAGATTAAAAGTTAGGGTCACTCTCTCCGAGAGTGAGAATGGCATGTAGAGTAGAGGAGATAGGAGGAATAGAATTATATATGAGGACCTGTCGCGGTTTGTAAGGAACAAGCAGATTAGCGAGAGAGCAAGATGAGAAAGATCGCACTATTTGAGTTTGACTAAAAATAGATTATGACTGACAATATCGAAAGTCTTTGTGAAGTCCAGGATAACGATGGAAGTAAGATTATCGATATTACGACGTTGGAGAAGCAATTTCGTCGTCGTGCTATGAGATCGACGAACACGAGACTGACAGGAAGGAGAAATATTAAAATTTGAGATAAAGACATTAAGTTATGAAAAGAAGATATACTCAAGCAGCTTTAAGAGGAAAGGGGAGAGCGAGATAGGGAAAAGATAAAGGAGAAGTGGGATTATAAGTTTTAGGAATGCAAAGAACAATTGATTGTTTTCAGGAGGGAAAAGTACTGTGAGAAAGAGAGGGAGAAAATTAACATAGAGAAGAAAATCAAGATATTGAAGGCAGTAGGAGCATGCGACTGGAGAGATCCAGAGGCCTAACGGAAGTAAAGCGAATGCGCTTAAAGATATTGTAGAGATTCTTGTGAATGATTTGAACAAAACTGAAGATCGTGGAAATGTGAAGAGAGGAAGAAAGAAGGTAGAAGTGTTGGAAGAGTAGAGGTGTTAGAAGAAAAAGACGAAGGAGTTAGGGTATTAAGCAATTGATTATTCAGGAGTGAAGGGTTTCTAAGATGCAGAGGTATCGAAGAAAAGGTTTGTACTGTCAAGGGCACGAAGATTTCTCCAGAATTGGAGCGAAGAATCAATTGTAATGGAGGTAGAAGGGAAGGATTTTTTGCTCACGAACAGCAATATTCACGCAAACTCTTGTAGCGCTGCCAGTAGCTTGTAGCTCCGCAGGAAACTGAAATCGCCTATATTTAAGAAGGGCACATCTCTTCAGCTCAGTGAGTCGTCGGATTGCACCATTCAGGCCACGGTGCGATGGGACGAGAAACATGCCTACAAGTAATCGGGGCGAGTCGATCAAAAATTGCAGTAAGAGAGGCAGTAAAGTGAGAAACCATCTGAATATGTGCCGCATATAAAGGAGATCAGCTCCAGTTCAGTTATGTCCTAATTGCATGAATGTTAGAGAAAGACACATGACCAGGACGATATAGTCGCGGAATAGCCAGCATCAAATGGGTGATAAGATGGTCACTCACACTGATCGCATCGCTGACTCCGCACTCCTCAATTACATTAATGCTCGATGAGACAAAAATAAGATCCAAGGAGGTTACCAAATTACATTAAGTAAATTGAATCAATTAATTGTCATCAATTAATTGTCTAAGAAAAAATAGCGATATCGAATTTGGCGTTATAATTTGATCGAGCATGTTGACATTGAAATCACTCAATATACAATCGCGTCGGTTATATGATACATGTAATACAAAATAGACATGATTCTGTAAGTGATTCCGTATTTTCATTAATAGAGACGAGAGGAAAGGCGGTGAGACGCAACCAGCTTCTCTGACGCTGAAAAAATTAAGGCGATAGCAGCTCCAGATAGAGGCAACGACGCAATTATCAGAGGAACGCGAATTATTGTCAGCGCCACAGAACAGCAAGGACGCTTACACGAAATAAAGCGTTTACATTTGTAACTCGTCGACTCATTCTAAAGTACATGAAATTATAGACACAGTATAGAACAATTATACAAATATTTACGCATAGGATCACACAACAAAGACACACAGCAAATTAATAAAATAATTATTTATATCTGTGCTTGTCCTTTAAACAAAGACGGAAGCGAATGACGAACAAATAATAGTGTCATAACGGCTAGATTTGAACATAAATTTATACGTCACTATAGAAATTATTACACAATGATAAAATATTACAAAAATATAAGTGAAAATCATACATTTCACGCAGTATAAACGCACTAATAAAACAACGAAACGCAGAAAAATCGCGTCACACTCTCAGAAATACATTCTACCGCCGACCAACATTCGCGAAAAAGTAAAAAACTGGAAGATAAAAAACTGAGATATTGCAATAATCAATGACTATATTAAATCGAAAAAAATGTGCAGCGAGGTAATAAATAAAGGCAATATTTTTCACAAGAGACAACGCAGAAATTGACAAAGAAGGTGAAATCAGAACGGAGTGGCGAACAGAATATTGATAGCACGAAGTGTCACAGGAAACTAACATACATTTATATATAACAATCAAAGCCATTTATATAATAGTTAAAATTAATATGCTCCTATGTTTACGTTCATACCTAGCAATTTTTAATATTCCACAAATATGCTCAGTATATGTAATGTACAATGTACCTATTCCCACCATTATAATCGATTCAATACATAATGTGTTCATATGTAATAGCATCCAATTGAAATACTTTTCTTGATCACCAAGGAACTCTGTCATAATGAGTAAATGATGTGATTGAGACATGTTCGTTGCATTGACATCAACTATAAATGACCACATTTGAGCTACTATACGAATAATTATTCCATGAATTCCAAATACTAAAAAGAAGTAAAAAGAATTTGTTATTTAAATTCTTAAGTACAAAAATTGTTTTATGTATACTGTATACATGTTTTATGAAATAATTTTTATCTCGGTTTTTTTTTTTGTAAAGTTGATAGCTATTTTACTTTATATGTACGTTATAAAACATTGGTAATTATTGCGAAAAGGTAAATGCCGATGACCTCACCAATAATCTTGACTTTGACATGTGTTGATCCTGAGTGATCTCCAACATGTTTTAGACACAGTCGCCTCGCACACACATACACACACACACACACACACACACACACACACACACACACACATTTGTTAAAAAGCGCATTTGTCAAAAAGTTATTAAAAAAAAAGTTTAAAAAAATCGTATTATTTTTGCTATAACAAACGTTATGTAAATCCATGTAGAATCTTGCTTTGTGTTATATAGTATGAATAACACACAGTATAAGAAATTGAATATATAAGAAGATGTAGCTTAGAGTGGGCGTATAACTTCCACGCGAAGCGACATTCATCCATTTCCTTTTTGTTAAAGGATGCACGAGTATTTACGCCCTTGACAAAGGGAGTAATGGGGTGGAAGTCACTTTAGATGAAAGTTGTACGCCATCAAGCAGGAATGATGGGATGAGAGTCGCTTCCGATGAAAGTTGTGCGTCTCTATGCGCTATTATATAATAACAAAAATGATGAGAAAATGTTTTGAAAAAAAATTTATGTTTTTAAAGTAGAAAATTTATTTTAAAGCAGAGAATTTTTGTTATATAGTAGAAAAGAGATGTTATTTCTTTAAACTTCTTTTTTAAATAACTTTTTAACGAATCGCCACCTGTTGGAAGGTTACTCACGGTCAACATGTGTGAATATTTAACAACTGAAAATATTATCACAAAATTAATAAATATTATCTTACCTGTAAGCGTAATCGTGTAACGTTTAGCATTGCAACTATATTTGTAAATAATTACAATTTCGTTTTTATCCTTTAATTCATTGAATATATATCGTAGTTCCATCAATAAATTCTTCACCTATTATTTTATTAATTTTCTATACTCTCTTCGTATATCACTTCGTATATCACTTCGTATATCACTTTCGTATATATCACAAAAACACTTTATGCAATAAAAATTTTTTTATTGACAAGTTAATTCTATTTAACGAATACTCAGTAAGATATGAACTTACAATTTCAATGTTACGATGTAATGCATTATATTTTATCATGCATAATATGGCAAAAGATACAGAAGACAGCACCTTTATTTCAAGGTCTAAAGTACATTTTAATATTATTAATGGTGTCAACTGCAAAAAATTAGTTTTATTCAATTTTGTATATATAGCAAGCAATTTTATTGAAATTTTATGAGTTTCTATATGTATCATTTTATATATACAATATGATTTTAAAAAATGCGATATATTTCTTTAAAAAAGCATGTATTAATGGTTATATAAATAAATGCTAATGCATACAATTATTAACAAATTTGCATCTCTATAGCGAATACTTTGTAGTTTTTCATTTGATATAAAAATTAAATTGCATAATATGGAATGATATAAACAATTTGAGTAGCAGATTGTCATACAGTAATTTATATTATGCAATAATTTTATATGATTTTGTACCTGAAATATAATATCTGCTGATAAAATAGTACAGAAGAAAATAAACTGAAGTTGAGTAAATTTGGATTGTTGATAAGGCCATAAACCGACAGCAAGCAATAGAATTTTATTGAGATTATTATGAGTTTCTATATATATCATTTTTTCTTCGAGCGATAAAGTATTACGGTGAAGACTGAAACATCACTGATAGTATACTAATCCCATTTTGTTACTATTTGACTGAATATTCCACATTCATGTTCTTTTGATGTAATTTTTAAATTACTTAATTTGTTACGATTAGTTGTGTAAAGGTTTGCTGTATAAGATCTAACGGTGCTGAACTTTCTGAGCAAATTACAAATATTTATCTTATTGATTTGATTACTATCGGTAATTCGACGGATGTTAGTTTCTCATGAAAATAAGTTATTGGCCACGCAGGCGCATTTTCTTTCTCTCTCAGCGCTAAGACTTCATTCTAATTTACGAACTCGTCCGATACACTTCGAGAGAATACCGTTTTTCTTTAATTTTTTTTTTATATCCTGGTCTATCTGATAATATTTATAGATTGAAAATGATAGCAATAATACATATACACATATATTATGTTATTGCATTTTATAATTGCATTTGATGAAATTAATATTTTCATCAATTAAGTGTCGAATTTTGATTTGTAAGTCTTTTGTCTATAATTGAAATATTAACTGTATAATATATTTCCTTTTTATTTATTAATTTTTTAATTTTCTATTACTGAAATTTTTGAACGGTATACTATAATTTTGAATATTTATGTACGATATTTATATATGGTGTTGATATAAAAGTAATTAATTAAATATAATAATTTTATACATTGATAAATTTAGCAGGTAAAAGATTTTGTTTGTTGATAATATAAAGTATATTTACATTCGCTGTAATATGTTTTAACAGTTATGCATATATTGATTTTGATACCATAGGAACTCGAAGTACCAATATCTTGATTCTTCTTTGTTTAGCAGAAAAATATTTGTGAACTTTGAAAGAAGTTATTGAGTTATAAAGAATTAAATTTAAATTAAAGAAAAATTATTTTGCATATGTGAAGCAAATATATTTTATTGTATTTTTAAGTGTAAGATTAATTTTACAATGTGAATAACTTTAACTTTTTTATTTACGCAACATTTTATTCAAAGTAGTTCCTTTGGACAGCTGTACGTATACATTTGTCAATATTTGGAAGTATTTTTGAAAATCATTTTTCGACAGGTCTTTCAGTAGGGAAGACCGGCTTTAGTAGACTATAGGGATAAGTAGAATAATCGAGGTTACATTAAAAACAAAACATGCAAGACATGCGTAAATGTATCTGAGCACGCAGCAACTGCTGCTCAGTCTGCTGTAACATCTCGTTGCGAACACATCTATGATAGAAATTACACTACAATTTTAAAAAATCGTACATCTAAATAAATATTTTTATTCTTAAAGTTTTTGTTTTACAATCGTATATGATTGTCTGAGATATTTGATTTTTATTTAGATAGTAAGTGTAATTCTTAATAAGATCCAATAGACTTTTTGTTTATGTGTCTTTATTATCATATATTGTTAATGTTTTTAAAAAATGAACAGATGAGGGATAGTAGACTAATTATAGCATAAAATTATATGATTCATTTAGTGACGACTCTTATACTACATACTCAACTTTTATTTTTTTAAAGAGATTTACCTCATGAAAATGTTATAAGTTTAATTTTCTCAATCTAATCGAATTGGATCAATCTCGATAAAATTAGGCTCATTCGACTTATTTCT